CTGACAGGTTAAGACTGTTTCCTTAGGGAGAAGAACTTACAACTCAGTAAATGAGAAATCTGGTTACAGAAGACTTGGTGGTATACATTTTTTAAAAACGTGAGCCCCATGCCTCACTTTGGGAAAAGCTGCTACTGAAGAACATTGACATCTCTCTTGGATTTGGCTTGGGTCATTTTCTGTTTAATGAAACCCCATTCAGCAACTTACCTGCTTTTGGGGTCATGGGAATGAGTCAGGGATAGAGAAAGGAGAGAATGGAGCGTGCAGCTGGGCTTTAGGATTCGATCAAAACATGTTAAACTTTATATGTGACACCAGAAAAATTCAAACAGTCAATCCTGTAAGGAAAATTAGCAAAAAGGATGAAGCTACTGATTATTCATTCTGCAGAAACCCTGAAGGAGGAAGGAAAATTGAGTATTAGGCTCATAATTTAAGAAAGGAAATCATCATATATAATAAGCAGATGGCACCTATTGCACATGTGCTTTGAATACCCTTGTGGAAATTATCTTTTTAATTGTAAAAATAATCCATGCCTATTGTCTAGTGATGCGTAGTATTGTGAGCCCTTGGAGTAGAAAACTGTTTAATTTCCACTTTAATTATTGAGGTTTAATAAAGTATTGCAATCACTGTCTTCATCACACATGTCGCACACCAGGAGCCAGGAACCATTGTGTGGCTTTAGGCAAATGACTTCCTTTCTAGGCCTCATTTTCCTATTGGCCTCCTTTGAGTCAGTCGATTTCTAAGGCATCCTCAAACCTGATGATTCTAATACTGTTCTATTTGTATCATCAGTGTACTTGTTTTGCCACTAGATGGCACTAAATGTATCTTTGAACCCTGTCTGTCACCTCTGAGTTTTCAGAACCTGGGGTCAGAAGGAGCCTTGGAATTTTTTCTTAATCCAATCCCTACTTAATAATTGGGGAACTGAGATGCAGAGGTTAAGTGACATGACCAAGGTCATACAGTTGCTCAGAACCTCTTCAATCCCAGGCATCTTTCGATTCATCACTGTTTCTCCAGGGGGCTTTATGAGGGAAGTTCAGAGACCATGTTCTCAGCCATTCTTGTATTTTGTTAATTATTTTCAAAATGATTTTAAAAACATTTTTAAATTTATATATCATCACATTCAAAATAAAGAGTTGGCCTGCTTTTGTGTTTTTATGTTTTGTATTATCTCCCTGAGGAAAATCTAGGCTGTCAGCTCTTAAAGTTCACTGCCCCGCCTATAACTAGCCTCCTTCACAATTTGCCCTGGCAATAAGCGCCACAGAAATCTCTGCTGGAGCCTCTCTGTCAGCTGATTCTTTCTCCATTTGTGCTCAATTCCTTCGATAAGAGATTTGTCTTTTAGCTCTTCTGTCGAACTAAACATGGCCATTTATTCTTCTGCTTCATCTTTGTCCACTTGCCCTGGTTCTTAAAATTTGATCTTCTGGGTTTTCCCAGTGCATCTTCTCTGCACTTTTGCCCCCTTCTCTCTTTATCGGTGACAAGGACCATATGTCATGGCTGTGTGTGGACAGAATGGTGTAGAGGGAGGCAGTGTGGCCCCAGGGTCCGCACCCGGAGTCACACCCACCAGGCAGCACCTCTCTGTCCCTGACCGGCTCTGCAGCCCATGCTCGTCTCTCCAGTGAGGGGGATAGTTTCTCCCCCACAGGCTGCTGTGAGGAATAAATGAGATCATGTGTGGGGAGCTCTGGCGTCAGTGCTTGGCACACGGACTCGATGCCCTTTAAGTGCTGATTATTCTGGTTGCTGCGGTATAGAGAGCAGGCGTGACTATGGTATATGAAAGGTAGGAGCCCAAGGGAGGGTCTCAGCCTGAGGAGGTAGTTTCTTTATTGGAGAAAGAAGGATTGGGGAGGATGCAAGGTGTGCCAGGGTCTGTGCTAGTGTTTCTGAGAATCAGGGTAGTATGGTACCGCTGGCCACATGTGGCAGTTGAGCACTTGAAATGTGGCCAGTCCAGGTGGAGATGTGCTGTAAGTGTAGGATACACATCAGATTTCAAAGATGGAAAAAATGTACATAGTATGAAAAAAATGAATATAAAATAGCTCAATAATTTTGTATATTGATAACATGTCAAAATTATAATATTATGGATATATGGAGTCAAAAATGTCATTAAAATTAATTTTACCTATTTCTTTTTACTTTTTTAAGTGCAACTACTAGGAAATATAATCAGGCTAGCATAATATTTCTATCTGATAGCACTGGACTAGAAGGTAGAGATCTTTGGTACTCAAACATATACAACTCTAATTTCGGGAATCATGTAAGAGGTGTTTTTGAGGCTTCTTTTTATTTTTTTCATTTATGATGCTCTCTTCTTAAGAGTATGACAATCCTGAATCAAGAAGCCAGTCACTTGGTAATAATAGTTTAAGTAATAGTTTAAAATGAAAAAAGTAAAAGAAGCACCAAATATTCTTCTTAGTCCCCCAAATCCTGAGGCCTTCAATGAGAAGCAAGGTATGAATGCATTATTTATGGTTTATTGGGTCAGCCACAAGCAATTAGGAGATCCTGGAGTGTGTTTGCTTTAAAGCCAATTCATGATTTCAAAGAAAAGTCATCTGCCATCATAATTATATGTTATCAATACTAGATGAAAACGTACTAGCAGCTAGTGATCTTAGAATTTTTCTTCAGATGCAAATTATTAAAACAACACAAATGATGAAGAGTAAAAAGAAAAGAGAACCATAATACTGTATATTAAATTAAATCATCTGCCTGAATTTCATTAAATTTATTTTGGTTTTATGACACTGGTTACAACATACTGACTTGTTTCAAAAACTTAAAAGTGAATAGTAACTTCATCACCAGTTTGTTTTAGAGCTAATTTTAGGTATTTATAACCTTTGTCTTTTTAGGTGGATTGAAAAATCAAGTTTTTTTTTTTCCCATTGAATTTACACTTGCTATTTTTTATAAAAACACATGTGAGACAGTTTGATCTTTGCTGATGCAGAAAGTAAAGAGGGCATATACATTTTGAGAACTTTGAGGACAATTCTCATTGTTCTTGATTTAGTCCCAGAATGAGATATTCTTCATTCCAGATAAACTTGCTTCCATAATTCATAGGACATAGGATGCCATCAATACTAAGAGGCACATTTATTTTAAGTGCCATCTTAATGCTGCCAGTAAACTCTGACATGCTATTGGTTATTAAGATGCACCTATTTCTGAGATGTTAAATGTTGGAAAAAAAATGCACCTTCTAACTGGTGAAATATAATACAAAGATTTTAAAACTTGGTTAGAAGTTAGAGGGCTTGTTTTACAAGTTAACATCAGACTTCGGGCCATCTCAAGATTTATCTAGTGAGTGTGGGTAGATGCACTGGAGCTCTTGTCATTTGATTCTGTAAGTAACGAGACAAAAATAAAGCATAATAAACTATTTTTTAAGTTACTGGAAGTGAATTTCTAACTTCGTTTCAACCTGGTACCTCTGCTTCTCCTTCCTCCCATCAAACACCGCCCCCCCTCCACCTTGCATCCATTATCTATCCCTCTGACAAAATCTGTTCTCCATAAAACTCTTGATAGCAGTTATTTATAACCTCTTGTGAATTCAAGGCAAAGTGTTATAAACTGCCCAAGGATGTTTGCTTTCTAAGCTTTATCTCTAATTATCGGCTAAAAATCTTTATGTGCTTAAAGAACTTTCAGGCCTCAACTAGCCATATGGAAGAAGTTTTGTGGGAATTGCTGGGGGAGGAGGGATGCAGGGGTAGTTTCCTCCTCCGCCTCTGCGGAAGGCTATGGACAGATAACCCAGCACCTCATTTCCTTTCCCACCCTAAATTGTTCAACCAAATATACCTACTGACTCACTGCCTTGGTCCTGGAGTCAGTGAGAAGGCTGACTGCATTCTGCTGCTGGCCGTGCTGACTGTATCTGAAAGGAAAGCAAACTTGACTGTAGTAGCTGCATTTCTGACTAATTTCATTGAATTTTTATCAGGTTTATCTTTCTTTTGATAGAGGCTATTGAATTTTAAGGAAACCTTGTGAACTAAAGAATTCTTTGGTAGTTCCAGTAGCTACTTCCTAATTTACCTGTTTTCCAAATCTCTGTGTTTACAGATCTTATTGACTTAAATCAGGCTTTCCATTTTGAATGACTACTTGGTAATCCAGATTCTGAGCCTACTTTTTATCAATTATTTTCAGGCATGTCTAAGCAGATACGTGCTAGGGCAGTTTGGCTCTTGGTTAAACTGAAGAAGTACTTGTGGTCTAACTTGAAGATGAAAGCAAAACTTTTTCTTAAGTTTGTAACACACTCTTCAATTGTGAATCTGCTGATACTTTATATACTTTTTATGTAGTTGATGCTCAGTAAAATTATGAGATTGTTCCCCCCACATTTATAATATCAGGGCTTATAAACAGAGCTCTCTATTGCATTCATGGAGTTTGGTTAACACATAGAGTGGTCTTGGTCAGCAAAATATGCGCTGTGATATTTCACGTTCTTTCAGCGTCATATTAGCTTTGAAAATTATATGGAAAAATCCGCTTCCATTGCTAAATTTCTTACATTTAAGCTAATATAAAACGTGAGGCAAATATTTATTCCATAGCTCTGCACTCTGTATAGTAGTATGTTCGTTGATAGTACCTTAAATAATTTTCACATGACACCAGGTAAATGTCTCTGTATGTTTGTTTGAATGACTGACTTTCGGTCTTTGCAGCTCGGGGTGTGGTTTTCTCTCGGCTGTGCCTATTTGGCCTTGGAAGACTATGGAGGTTCAGCGAAGGCATTTCAGCGTTGTGTGACTCTAGAACCCGATGTAAGTTTTTTTGGTCTTCTTTCCTTATTACAGCTCTTTGATACTCTCTGTTATTTAAGTCGTACTGTAGTTCAGAGCAGCATTTCCTATGGGCATATCATTTCAGTTATGCAAGATTAATAAGCTCTAGAGGTCTGCTGTACCATATTGTGTCTAAAGCTAAAGTCCTGTACTATGCACTTAAAAATTTGTAAAGAGAGTAGATCTCATGCTAAGTGTTCTTATCAAAATTAAAAAGAGAGAGAAAAAAGAAGGTAAAACTTTCCGTTTTTCTATTTTTATGTTTAAAAATAACCCCTAGCAATTCCTTTTGTGTTGGAGGAAAGTAAATACTTTTGACAGAAGGTCACACCTTAAGGTATGTGATTTATAAATCTAGAGATAAATTTCTTCTCATAATAGCTAAATTATTCATGGTTTCATTTAGAAAATAATTTTCATAGAACAGTTTTTTAGTTAAAAATGTACTTTGCTAAAATATACAGCAAAGTTTCACATGTATTTTGTCATTCACAAATGTGCTGCCTTTGTTAATTACATTATTAGAAAGTTCTTCCAGTTTACAGTCTTTTAATATCTAACAGCTTTACTGAGATGGTAAATAACCCATATCAGGTAGTTCATCCATTTATTTTATTTTATTTATGCCTACAGCACTAGTTCATCCATTTAAAGTGTACAAGTCAGTGATTTTTTTCAGTATATTCAGAATTGTTTAACCATCACCACAATCAATTTTAGAACATTTTTATTATTATAAAAAGAAAACCTCTGCACTCATTAGTAGTCATTCCCCACTTCTCTCAAACAGATTCTAGCCCCCACTCCTGCACCCCCACCCTAATGTACATTAGGCCCCGCTAAATTAGGCCCCGCTAAATTAGGCCCCGCCTAATGTACATTCTGTTTCCATAGATTTGTCTCTTGTGAACATTTCGTACAAATGAAATCAATTACTGTGCAATCTTTAGTAACTGACTTCTTTTACTTTGATGAATGTTTTTATGGTTCATCCATGTTGCATGTATTATTAGTACTTCATTCCTTTTTATGACCAAGTAATATTCCACCATGTGGGCATATCAGATGTTGTTATCCATTCATCACTTGATGAACATTTGGACTACTTCCACTTTTTGGCCATTAAGAATTATGCTGCTATGAACACTCATTTACACGTTTTTGTATGGACCTGTGTTTCCGTTTCTCTTGGGTATATACCTAGTAGTAGAGTTACTGGGTCATGTTAGCTCTTTGTTGAAAAATTTGAGAAGCTGCTAGACTGTTTTCTGAAGCACCATATTAGATTCCCACCAGCAGTGTATGAGGCTTCCACTTTCTCAGCATCTTGTCAAGACTTATCATCTGTCTTTTTTATTATAGCATTTCTACTAGATAGTATCTCTTTGTGGTTTCAATATGCATTTCCTTAATGGCAAATGATTTTGAGCATCTTTCCATGTGCTTATTGGCCACTTGTGTATCTTAGGAGAAAGGTTTATTTACAACCTTTGCCCATTTTTTAAACTGGATTACTTGTCTTTTTTTATCGTTGCATTATAAGAGTTCTTTATACATCCTAGATACAAGTCCCATACCAGATATATGATTTGCAGATATTTTCTCCTAGTCTGTAAATTATTGGTAGTATCTTTTGAGGTATAAAAGTTTTAAATTTTGATGAGGTCCAACTTATCAGTTTTTTCTGTTGTTTCTCCTGCTTTTAGTGTCATATCTAAGAATCTATCACCAATCTAAGGTCATGAAGATACCCCATCTTTTCTTCTAAGAGTTTATTGTTTTAGCTCTTAAATTTATGTGCGACCTGCTGTTAAACCTGTTCATTAAACTTTTCACACTGTGTGTGGTGGTGGATGTTAACTAAACTTGTGGTAATCATTTCATAATATATACATATATCAAATCATTATGTTGTACACTTAAAACTAATACAATGTTACATATCAATTAAAAGAAACTAAACATCATTTCAAATGATGTATTTTTTTAGTTCAAGAATTTTCATGTGGTACTGTTTTATAGTTTTTATATTTCTACTGTGATTCCCCAGTTATGTTCCCTTACGCTGTTCATGTTTTCTTCATACCTTTGATCACGTAACACCTGCTTTGAAGTCTTCATGTGCTTATTCTAGCATCTCTTTCATTTCTGTGTCTATTTCTATTAACTGATTTTTCCTTTGGTTATAAATGAATTTTCCTGTTTACATGCATGTCTACCAATTTTTTATTTTGATTTTTTAATTTTTTGTAGATGCTGTGTGTTGAGTTTCTGGGTTTTGTTTTGTCTTCCCTTAAAAGATAGTTTTATTTTGGCATGTGGTTAGCTTTGTTAGGGCAGGTCTGGAGATGTCCTTATTCTAGGGTTGCAATCACCCATTTCTTTTGGGTGTGGAATTTAATGCTATGGGTGATCAATAAGAATTCTCTACCCTGGTTGGTTGGAACTTGAATAACTGCTAGCACTATGTGACACCCAGAATCTCCATTCAGCTCATAGCTCTCTGGTAGCTGTTTTCTGCCTGGCCTCAAGAAGTTTTGACCTGTACAAATATAGCTTAGTATTCAGCCAAGGACTCAAGTTGATGCTTATTTTGATGTCTGGAGCTTATTCTCTACACAGATCTCTCTTTCTTACCCCCAAAATTCCAGCCACCTTTTCAGCCCTGAACTATGATCTCTTCTTCATCTCAGCAGGACTTCTGCTTTGTTTGGTTTCTACCTCTCTGGGCTGCAGCCCTGAAAGTGCCTCTAGCTAGAAGCCTGTGTTGATTGTTGAGACACCTCAATTATTTACTCTGTCTCAAGGCTCACAGTCCTAATTGTGCCTATTGTCTAAATTTAGTTGTTTCCTAAGTTTTGTCCAGTTTCTAACTTTTTATGGCAATAAGGCTAGTCTGCAAGCAGAGGTCCATTGCCACTTAATTTTTAAATCATACGTATGGAACTTGAGAACTATATACTTTATATTTTATAAAAAGCAGAACAAAGAGGAACAGATATAATTCATACAGTTCTCATTAGAATCAACATTTATATAAAAGCTTTGTTTTTGTCATTGCATAAGAGGAATAGTGAGAGAAATATGTTTGATTGATGAAATACTTAGGAGTGATGCTGAGAACACATACTCCTTTGTTCTCCTCTCTGATGAAGGATGATTGTAAAATAACAAAGTCTTTTAAGATAGGAAAACAATACTCTACATTGTCTTGGATTTGTAATAAATCCATATATTGTGTAAATTATGTTGTAAATTTTCCAACTATTTTGTAAATCTAAGTTTGGAAATAAAATCTTAACTAAATTCCAAAATTAGTCCTTTAATAGTTATATCAATTTGTTGACTATTTTTGTGACTTCTTCATTCTAAATTATAAAAGTTATTTTTAATTTATTTAATTTTTTCCATGCGTCTTTAAACATACCTCATTGAAATCTGTGATTATAAAGAGCACATCTTGGACTAGGAAAATATGTTATATTTTTGGTTGTAGCAATTATTTTACTTAGTCTATAACTAGGTTCTGTATCATTTCAGAATGCTGAAGCTTGGAACAATTTATCAACTTCCTACATCCGATTAAAACAAAAGTAAGTACAACAGACAAGTATGAAGAACTTTGCTTCCAAATTAAATGAAAGAGATTTTCTTCAACTCAACTGAACACTGAAACATTGTGCCTCACTCTCTTTTTCCTTTGCCCATCCATGTCTTTGAGTTAGAATGACTTAACATAGCCATTTGAATTCTAAATGTAGTTTATTCCTTGAAATCGTTTGATATGTAATAAAATATGTTGCTTGAAACCTTTATTTGCTACTAAGCTTTTGTGTTCTAAATTTCATTATATAATAAAAGCAAGCATGCTTTTTAGTTGATCAACTCAATTGATAGATTCTCATTGATTGTTTGCTGTGTACATTATTGAGAAATATAGATATGAACCAATGTCTTCAGGGAATATAGGTTTAGAAATAAAATATTATGCCATATTATTTTAAAAATTGATTAGCAATATAAGCAATATGTGGCAAATATTAAATGAGAAATACAAAGAGGGCTATAATACTAGTAGAATAAGTGTAGAACACTTATTCTGTGCCAGGCACTCATGTAGTCCTGTGAGAATCTCAGAAGTAGGGATGTTTATGACCCTTGTTCAGAAATGCTTCTGAGAGAATATTGGACTCAAGCTAACATTTGTAGAATGGGTGGAAAAGACAGAGGAAAGCCTTTCAGGTGAGGAGAATTTGACTAGATGCAGAGTGACGAGTGTGAACGCAGCACTTCAGGAGATGGAGGTAAGAGTCCTGCTCTGGACTACAGCGAGATCTATACTGAGAGAAGGTTGGAAAGGTCGGTTGGGGTCAAATTGCTGTGTATTCTGATTATCTGACTAACACATTGAGACTCTGCTGTTGGCAATAGGAAGCCAGAAATCTCAGCTGGGTAATTCCATGAAGAAAGAAGCTTTTTAGGAAGATTTATCTGGTGGCAGCGTGTGAGATAGACTAGAGAGGAAATGGGGGATTGGGAAACCAGTTTGGAGACAGCTGTTGTAACAGTCAGTCAGGAGATAACTAGGCTGGAAAAAGATGGGGCAGATGCCATTTTATAAAGGAGACAACCAATTGGGCTTATGGACTGGCCACAGAAAGTGAAGGAAAGGGACGAGACAAGGATTGCTGTCGCCAGAGTTTAAATAAATGTATTAAAGGATGGATATGGTTCCATTTTTATTTGACCCTATTTTCAAACTTAATTTTTCTTCGTGGATTCACAAGATATTTCTGAAGATATCATTAAATCCACATTATGCTGAGATCATGAAATGCTTCCGCTGCTCTTGGATGACAATCTACATAAATAAAGCACTGTTTGTTCTACCATTCTCTGCAGAAAATAATATTATGTTCTTGATTGCAGCTGATTGTGTTTAAACTCACTAGAGACCCTATTGATTTAAAGCAAGGGGCGGGGGAAATCCCAGTCATAGTTGTAGGATGATCTCAGTGAGTTTTTCTGTAACCCTGATCATTTTGTATGTAGTGAGTCTCTTGATCCCCTACCTTGTCTTCCAGCCCATTAATCCTAAGAATTCTGCTTTCTCTCTTAGAGGTTCTTGCACATTGTTCCTCAGCTTCCTTTTCATACGTTTTGTCTTCCTGCAGCTCCATGAATAGGTTTTTGTATAAAAGTGGGGTTGTAAGGTCAGAGGTGAATTACTCCTTTTTTCTGGTCTTTTTATTCTTTCCTTTCTTTGCTGCTGCTCCAGACATAGCTAATTTTTGACTCACAAGATTGTTATTTACTTCAAGGGTAAATTATTACTGCTCTTCTCAAAAGACTCCTATTTGTGCCTCAAAGCGACCCTTTAAACTGTCTCATCTGTCCCTTTCCCATTATAATATTTTTCACTGAAGTGCCCTTTTCACTGTTTTATCTGATTACCCCTGACATTTTGTCCCTACCTGATGTCACAATTTTCCCTTGGGAAAATTTCCATTTTCCTATGTAACTTTCGTAGTACAGCATCACTACCATTGTGGGTTTGATAAGTGAATCCTGAATTGAAGTTCTTTATAAAGAAATCATATTTATCAAAAAAGAATTTAATCGCAGAAATTTCAAGGCTAGGAATTTGTGATTAGAAGGTGGGAGGACACATAGGAAAAAAGGTAATCCTCCTGGTGTGGATTTCTGCTTACTGAGTTCTTTCCCAATAGAATAACTTCACCTCCCCGCCCCACTCCCCAGTCTCCATGTGATTGGGAGCACCGGGGAGTCTCAGTTCATTGCTGTTGAAGGTAGTTGCTATGGCAGGTGGGCTCAGTGAGTGGAGTAGAGAAAGGGAAAAAAAAAGAAAGAAAAAAATCCCAGAGAAACAATTTATAGCAGAATTTGAAGAAGTGGTAGAGTAAGGGTACTTTTGATTTCAACTATAAAGGATGGTGGGGGAAGGGAAAAATGAATCAGTATATAACATAACAACTTTAGGTAAATTGTTTAATGCAGAGAAATAAAAACTGAACTGTAGTGAATTGCTTGTTGTGGAAAGACCGAAAGGACCTATTGTAAAGAAGTTATTTTGATCACTATCATAGATATCTTAGCGATCGAGCAAATGATTTGTGTGTTCAGTGGCTCGTCGGGGAAGTTACTGATGATGGGGACACACTTCTTTTCAAATACTTAAGGAGGTGACTCTCAGCAATGGCCTGGAATGATCAGAAGAACTCCTATTACCCCGTCCAAAATTTGCTTGAAGTTAGCAAGGAGAAATGGTCTTGATGAAATGAAACAATGTGAGGCTCAGCAGGGAAAGGAAGGTGGATCTTGTAGTCTTAAATTAGCAAACTCAGAATGACAATTGGAAAGGGAGATTGATGGTATACATTTGAAAAAGGTTAATGTGATTGTCCAGTAAAACATTTATGATCTATAAGAGAACTATGTCTTTGTCCAGCTAGCAAAGTAAAGCATTAAGAATCTGTTTGCTGAGATGTTTAACTTTTAGAATAGGTGACATGAAGTTTTGTCGATTTCCTTGTTGATAACAAGCTAATAGTCTTTCTCTACTTTCTGAAGCGGCTTGTATAAGACAAGGATTCTGTAAACCTTGCCTGTAAAACTACCTATCCTTGTTTTAATTTTTATTAATCAATTTGGCTTTCTATTTCTTTAGCTCATTTTGTGTAATTTGTTCATAGTGCTCTCATGATTTTTTTTAAATTGCTGTCTTATTTGTGTCATGTTTTTTTCATTCTAAATGGAATTCGGACCTTTGTCTGTTTCATTAGTTTTTTCCCAAAAGCCAGCTTTTGGTTTTGTCGATCATTTCTATTCTTTATTTATGTTTTATTTCTTAACTCTATTCCTTTATTTTTTAAAAATTTATTTAGTGTTCTTATATCAAATTGAGTGTTTTAACTTATTTTCCATCTTTTATATCTTATAATCTATGTATGTAAGATCCTAAATTTCCCTCTAAATACTGCTTTAGCCATATCCTACAGATGGTGACATATAATACTTTATTGATTTCTAAATATTTTGTACTTTCTAATACAGATTGTTTTTTTTCACATTGTCGATTTTTTTTTTTTTTTGGTGTGCATTTTTAAGTTTCCAGGCACATATATTTTAAACTATTTACCATTGATTTCTTATTTAATTGCAGAAAATATGGTCAATATACTTTTAGTTCTACTTTAAAAAACAAATAACTCAATCATTTTTGTTCTCAATAATTATTTAAATTTCCTGACATATTTAATCAATTCTTCTCACCATCGATCATTTCTTGTATCCCCTTCTCTTTGAATTTCTTTTTATTTTTGCAAGAGAAGATTCTGCAGTAGTTCTTTTAAATTAGGGTTAGTAGGTAGTAAACTTTCTTAGTCTTTGTTCATCTGAAAATGTTTGATTTTGCATTTACACTTACATGGTAAGTTTAGCTGGTTGCAGAATTTTAGGCTGACAGTTATTTTCACTTAGCACTTTAAAGGTAGGATTCTATATTCTTCTACCATCTTTTGTTGCTAATGAGATATCTACTATTCTCTAATTGTCATTATTTTGTGGGTTTAAGGATTATCTTTATGCTCTGCAGTTTCACACAGTATGTCTAGGTGTTGGTTTATCCTTATTTATAATGATCGGTATGCAAAATATATTTCCGGTCAGAGAATTTAGATCTTTGTTCAAAATGCTCAGCTTTTCTCTTATAGTGTCTTGCTATTTTCTGCATTTGTTTACTTTCGGATATCTATCAAATGTATGTTTAAGCCTTACTTCGCATTCTGTGTTCTATTTCTTTATTATTCTTTTATTTCTTAATCTGAATTTTGTGTGAATTCTTCACTGCTATCTTTCAGTTCATCATTTCTCTCTGTGTGCATTCTAATTCCAAAATTTCCAGTTGTCTGTATTTACATCTCTCTGTTCTTGTTTCATTTCTGTCTGTTTTTGTTTTGTAATTTCCTGTTCCTATTAAGTTTTTTAAAAATTTGTAGGTAGATTTGAGGTGGTTTGGGGTTGTTTGGGCCTCTAATTCTATTTATTAACATGAATGATTAAGGAATGATAGAAAGTCCATATCAGCATTTTATGCATTTAGCTCTGGTTTATGTAGCTATGGTTATTCATTATTGCTGTCTTTCAAATTTTACCTTCAATAGAGTAAAAGCTTTTAGAACTTTACAAGAAGCCCTCAAGTGCAACTATGAACACTGGCAGATATGGGAAAACTACATTCTGACTAGCACTGATGTTGGGGAATTTTCAGAGGCCATTAAAGCTTATCACCGGCTCTTGGACTTACGAGACAAATACAAAGATGTTCAGGTAGGATATTCATATTTTGTTATTTCAGTTTGTGTTTGGCATAATACTTGATTATGTGATATAAATTATTTCCTTGACTATACATGAGCAAATTTTGTTAAACACGTGTTCATCTAAAAAGAGTGCTTTTTCTTGTAATCGAATATTTTTAGTTACATATTAATTCTGGCATTCCATTGTCAAATATGTTTGCGCAGTCATAGATTGAATATTATTGTGACTCAGTTATGAAAATCTGATATGTGGTTTATATATACACTGTCAGTTTGCAGAAACTAAATAGAATAATGTGTGTGTTATTAATTACTTTGGTTATCTTAATGTGGTAGCTGGAATAAGTCCCATACTCATTTATTCACTAATTCAACAAGCATTCACTGCATACTTTCAGACTGTTTGAACAATGTAGAAATGAAGACTAACATTTTCTTCGTGATATTTAATGAACTGGTCCTCTTCTTGGTGATATGTCAGAACTAGTTGACTCTAACACAGTAGCAAAAACACTATGTCATTTCAGAAAATATGGGAGACTTGAAGCCACCGTGTTTGTCATCTAATAAGATTAAGTAGACAAAACCATGTGAGATTAACTGTGGTTGAAGACAGGGTGTGCAGGACCTTATAGGTTACAAAGTCTAGGGCTTGAAAATATATCATTTTATTTGCAATAATCAATATATGCTATTTAAAATAGTGAATTAAGAATTGTAAAAAAACAGAAATAACATCTAATGTGTGATAATACCTGACTACTCATAATTTATTATCTGTTCTCCAGCTATTCCAAAATTTACCTTATCTGGGCCCTGTATTGTAGTCCCAGCCCTTGACCAGTATATGCATGGTCTTGCAAATCCAGCCATATAATTGGCCAAGGTTACTTTAATGCTCAGGTTCGGGGCAGTTCACTTGAAAGATCTGTGTCTTCAAGTAGCATTACATACCTATTTGTAGGAGCTATGTTGACCCCTTCAATCACTTTTCTTTCTTTCTTTCTTTCTTTCTTTCTTTCTTTCTTTCTTTCTTTCTTTCTTTCTTTCTTTCTTTCTTTCTTTCTTTCTTTCCTTTCTTTCCTTTCTTTCCTTTCTTTCCTTTCTTTCCTTTCTTTCCTTTCTTTCCTTTCTTTCCTTTCTTTCCTTTCTTTTCTCTTTCTCTCTCTCTTTCCTTTCTTTCTTTCTTTCTTTCTTTCTATCTTTCTTTCTTTTCTTTCTTTTCTTTCTTTCTTTCTTTCTTTCTTTCTTTCGTCCGTTCGTCTTTTCTAACTATTGTACATTGACCATCCATTATAGAAAGAAGGGACTTGGATTGTGATATAAAGATCAATTAAAATGTGAATGGAGGCATAGTAGAGTTTTACATCCTAGAGAGGATAAGAGCCCTAGCAAATCTATTTGCAGTCCTCTGGCAGTCTAGCACTTGTCACATTCCCAGAGCTGAAGTTCTCCATTGAGGTGGTTCTTTCTCTTCCACACTTAGTCCCTTGGTAAAGGGCACTGACGAAGCTTTGAACAGATCTCAATATGTTGTTGAACCACTGAGGATGGAACAGAGATTCCAAAGTGCTTATCTCTTGTTTACTTCAAGTGTAATTTTTAAAAAGACCCTTCTTTACTAATAAAGCATTCTGAAGCCTGCTCCTAAATTCTTAGAAAGAATGTAATTTACATTGGTAGTATATTACATTTTACACTTGAAACAAATTTTTTTTTATTCTTTCACACTAAAAAGCGGTACATAAAACACTCAAATCCAACACTCCTCAATCAGTCCAGCATTCTTTAGCATTACAAACTGTCAGAGCAGCATTGAGTCCTGTGGGCTGGGCTGAAGAAGCCCCACTCTGGTCAGAAAGGTGTGTGAAGCTCCTCCCCTTCCAGATTCCCCAAGCTGTCAGCGTGCTCTTCTGTCCTACTGGTATTGCTGCTGGAGGTGTCATCTCTTCCAGAGTTGTCTCGGAATTGGCTTCCTTGGCTACTTTGAGCCCATTAATCTTCTGTCCTATGTCTCTCGTTTCTAACTTATCTGCTTTTTCTGATGTGAGTGGAATTTTGCCTCCTACTCTGTGTTTTAACCCACAGTAATCCTTCATATCTGCTAAGGATTAGTAATGATTGGCTAACCAGGCTGGCTTTCTGGTTCCTGAGAAAATCCTGATCATTCTTTTATGCTTGGAACCCATAGGCATTGGCTTTATGTAAGGCACGCAAATGGCTAGGGCCAGGCCACTCTCCTTCCATGAGAGATGGACTTTCGTGGTTCTAGTACATAAGTATCAAAGGGAGGGGACTTTTCTATCTTATCGCTCACTTATTCTCCCCTGCTTCTCAAGGCACATAGAGCAGGTCAGACTAGGACATGGTAATCATAACTGACATTCAGTGAGGGCTTGCTTTGTGCCAGACTAGTGGCACTTGATATGTATTAACTCAATTAATTATCACCACAGCTCTGTGAGATAGATTTGTACTATCAAAAGTGATGTCTCACTTTAAAAGGTATGTGTGTATCTTCCCCACTTGTTTTAAGGAAATTAATGATATGAAACAAGTTAACTGTTCAAATATTTTTTTGAAAAGCTATACTTCTACATCATAGTTATAAAGTCATCAATATATTGTTGATTTTATTTGGCTTAGGTGGGTGCATCAAATATGCCCAATTATCTTGCTAACTCATATCTGAGAGGCATGTATTCCAGAAAAAAAGCAAGACAAAATGCAACACTTGCTTAACTGCAGATGATAATTTAGAACGAAATAGGTTCGGCCTTGAGCGTTCCAGTCTCCTGCAATTACAATAGCTGGAAATGTATTGGACAATTTTACTTAAGATTTTCCTTTGTTCTTACCACTCCCCCACCAACTCCAGTTTAGGCATCTCATTCTCTCTGTGGATGAAAAAGTTTCTTGCAAATGTTTGGAATAATACTGCTGTATATGAGTATCTCTAAACGTATGAAGAGAGGTGACATTTAGAATAATATATTGAGAGTCACAGTGGTAGATACCAAGGAGGTAACTCCAGCAAAAATAAGCTGAGTTGATTCTAAAGCTAAAAGTTTCAGTTGCTGATTTGGCGTATTGTATACCAAATCAAATTAGTTGGAATTATAGGAACACGTGCTTAGAAATCTCTTAGGAACCTTCTCTAAGAAAGAATAAAGGAACTCAAATAATGATTTTTATTCTGAGGAATTCTGGGCAATTCTCAGTCAGTAAAATTCATTTGGAAGTAAAAATATATTTTTCTTAAGTTTTTAATGAAGAACTAAAAAGAAAGCAACGCTTAATGTAAAGACTGAGCCAATAGCATAAAATTACATTTTTTTCCAATTTATCCAGCCTCAGATCTGAATGCACAGAGATGCATTTTGAGCATTTTTCGTAAAAGGAAAGAAAATTTAAATCATTCTGAACGTAAGTGAAAATTTAATTGTTTCTAAGAGAAAATTAGGATTTAATTTCATGGCCTGCTAATACTTTAATATCTTTTTTCCTCTAATTCTTTCTCTGTTTCTCAAACTTAGAATATAAAACAAACCTTCTTTTGTACAATAGCATTCATCTGAGCATAAATATTTTGATGAGTTCGAAATTAGTTTCTATAAAAGTTTAGTGTTTTTAGAAACAGTCAAGGGTGGCGTTTAGGATCTTTGAGACTTCCTCCTGTAGCCCCGTTGCCACTTGAAGGAGCACCAGGAACTGTTCCTGTTATGAGAAATATTGCATATAAACAAAACACTTTGAGAAGCATAATGTGCTATAAAGATGTCAGGTATTATGGCCAGTAGCTTAATTTTTATATTCGCTTTTGGGGAATATGACTGCGAACATGACTGCATAACCAGTGGCTTGCTCAGGGCAAATCATCGTCTTTAGCACCGTATAACAGAGAACTGTCAGGTGTTCAGATCCAGGAAGAGCCACAGGGAGATAGTTTTCAGGCCCTTTTAAAAGCTCTTTAGCAGTGTTGTAGATTGCTGTCGGCAGTGTCTAGTCTCTGGCAGGTGTGAGTAGAATCCCTCCATAGTGGTTAAATCATCGGTGAAGGAGAGTCTTGGTGGCTAGTGGTGGGCTCAGTCATATTTAGCTTCATTGCATCCTTCTGTTTGTCATCACGCTTTATTACAACTAGTCACTGTGGACTGAGACAATTGATAGACTGTCTGGAATATTTTTATCTTGGCTAAAATAATTGAACTTAATTTGACTCTATAAGTTTGGCAACAGGTGTCTTCAAAAAAAAAAAGCTCATATCCTTATGTTTGACACTACCTGACTCCATTCTATTTTAATTTACTTTAAAATCTTTTCATCTATTCTTTCTCTACTTCTTTATAGATGTGATTATTGTCATTTCAATTTTTTTCTAGTGTGTGAATGTAGTATGTGTGTATAAATTCACAGTCATTTTAATACAAACAATAAATTAGCTACAGATTATTCTGTTTTTTTTTCACTATTTGTAATAGGATGAGTAAAATATACCACCTTTTTCATTTCCTGCCTTTTCTCTCCCTGTCTTAATTTCGATTAATGCATAGATTAATATAACTCAGGAATGATTTTCTGTAGTAGTACATATTTATATTCATGTCTAGATTAAACATACTTTTATTAGTCTGTCATAAAATGAATTTTCATGTTCCTGTATATTAGTCCCTGTTCAGTTTTCCAGTTTTCTATTCTTGTCAATAATACCATGAATATCCTTGTAGACAAATCTTTATATATATTCACACTTCTTTCCTCAGGGTACATTCTAATGTTGATTTGTTCATTTTTTCTTTTTTACCTTTTTTCTCTTTTCTCTCCTCCCTTCTCCTCCCTCCCACCCCTTCTTTGATAACTTGGCATTTTGGGGAGAGCATTTGGGAAAAGAATTTAAATATTGCATTATTATACTCCATTAGCTGTTTATAAACAGAAGAGGAAGGGGAGGGGATTAACATATATATGTTCTTAGACCCTAACAAGGTTAATCTTTTTTAGGGCATA